GAAGACGGAGAGAAGACGGAAGAGAAGACGGATGTAAGGGAACAATAAAGAGCTGCGCAGAAAACCAACCAGTGGTCGCGTCGTTCTTGCTGGCAAGGCCGCGCGCAACAAAAACTGCCCCATATTAGGATGGAAAAGCCAGAAAACAACCTGGTGACATATGGGTCACCTCCCTTACAGTCCAATGTCCAGGAGAACTGTGAGCACTCCCCAGCTACTTCTTCCATATCTTGCAGGATGCCTCTTCCTGACTGCTCCTCCTCAACAGGGTCATCCAGGATTCTGACCTCAGCTCTGGTCACACAACTTGTATCACACACCCTAGAGATCTCAACTCAAATACCTTCAGGTACAACAAAACAGTTAAGGACAGTAAGACAATTAAGCACAATCCAAACTCTGTTGCCAGGCAAAGCGCATCTGATATAGTAGACGCCAGATGACAAAACCCATGAGTGAAACACACCTTGAACCCTACCACTACACAGTCCCCCAATACAAGCCCAATCTCCATGCTTCTACCCTTGCCACCTAGCAAGCAAAAGGACTGTGGACTAGGAATCAGGTACATAACACTATGAAACCCAGAGAGGCTGTCATCTCCTCCACCACACTTCTCTCTACTTACAAGGTTTTCTGCTCCTGTAGCCCTCCCAAGCCTAAACCACCTTGGGGCCTAGGAGAATCTTCTCCAAGATCTTTGCACAGTAGCTTCTTCCTTACTTTCTCCATCTAGGTGAAGCTATCCCTCAGCAAGTCCAACTTGGTCTCACTATCACACCCATTCTAATTTCCTCCAGCACTTAGCACTATTCATTTTGTACCTATCCATCTTTCTCCATCAAAACAACTGCCTTCTAGGAGCAAAGGCCTACACCAGGAGTGGTGACACATGCCTGTAATCCCAGCACTCGAGAGGCTAAGGCAAGCGTATCACAAGTTCAAGGTCCCTCACTATGAGGGGCTACACAGTGAGTTCACAGCCAGCTAGGACTACATGTGACACAATGTCTACAAAAAAAGGGCAAGGGCCTTATGTATCTGTCCATCACTGGTTCCCAATACCTACAATAATGCTTAGCATAAGACAGGTATTTTTCTTTTGTGAAATCAAAGAAGGTCTGATAACCTTCTTGATAACAGGCCTCATCTTTGACTTTATCCCCTTTCTAGGGTACCTATCTTCAGAAGGTCAGTTCCCAGGGAAATGTCTATCTTTTTCACCCATAGATTTCTAGCACCTGTTAGGGAGCTGGGAACATGTGTTGAAAGAAATAATCTAAAACTCTAGCTAACTTGCTGATATTTTGTGGCTATCCTATTGTCAAGTGCAATGTATTATTCCATCTACATTTCTCTAATCCTCATATTAACTCTATTATTCAGGAAGCTAGTCCAAGAAAAGGAATCAAAAGACTCTGAGGTCACACAGGCAAAGTGCGGGGGTGGGGGTGGGGTTATCTGGCAAGTCTAGCCCCAGAACATTCTTTCCTGTGCATTAGTATCATCTCCTTCATCTTTACTTTTTATTTTTTTTAATTTTATTTATTTATTTATTTATGTGGGGGGGCAGCTCAGCCCACCTGGGGGCAGGGCTGGCTGGCATGTGGTGCTGGGGGATTGAACCGCGGTCCCTGTGCTTTGCCAAGTTTGTTCTAAGTAGGTGCTTTAGACCACTGAGCCATCCACCAGCCCTCAGGCCAGATTTCTAATCTGCGTTTCCTTACCTATGCATGCCTCTCAGGTAGTCAGGTAGTGACAAAGTCAAACCTGTCACCTTTCCTTCACCTGCCTTTCCCGTTCCTACTAGTCTTGAACAACAACATAACCTAGTTCACTGGCTATGTAAGCTGTACATGACGACCATTTTCACCTCCCTTGTTCTCTTAGCAGTTTCTAATGCACCTAACTTCAATTTTCCCTCTGGAACTGACACCCACTGTATTCTCGATGTCTACACCCCAGCACTTTTTAATCAGAACTACTGTACAAGTTTTACAACTAAGTCTGCCAAGTCTGGCCTTGTAGTTACAAAACTATTCTTTCAGACATATAAGTCATATTAAAATATACACTAAACTCTTCAACAATTACCACCTTTAAGAACAGGTCAAATAAAAAAAAATTAGCTGTCATTAAAAGATCACTCATGCAACAAAATTAAACATGGAAGGCCCTTAGAGAGCTGAGTCTTCATCATAGAATATACTTATGATTAATGCTATGGGTACAAAAGTAATACAATCCATTAGAAGATTTCTCAGTACGTGATCCAATGCCTCATTCCACTTGTTTTCAGAAACGATCACACTGTCCTATGCCACCGCAGACAAACCACATTCCTAAACTGTTCCTGAAAGGGAAAAAATCCTTCACATCCCTCTGTAACAGATTCCTCCTGCCCCGCCCTCCTGCCCCACCTAAAATAAAGATAAGAAACATTCCTATCTTTCCTTACACAATATTGAAGCCAAATAACCATTATTCTTATTCCTCTGTTATTTCCTTAATCACGCCCAATTTCACACATAATTTTACCAATATTTACTCGTAACATTTCTGGTCATTTACTTTTGGCCCTATAAAATATACTTCAGGGGCGGGCATTTAGCGCAGCGGCACAGCGCCTGCCCCGCAAGCACAATCCTGTGTTCGATTCCCCGTACCAAAAAAAAAAAAGAACTTACTGCAGGCCTAAGTAGGCATTTGAGTAGGCTTACCGTAAAGTTTGTCCACAGGATTGAAACTTGGACAAAAGGCTGATTTCGAAGCAGCGAAAACGCCAAAAGGAAGACCTCAAAACAGCAGTAAATGGGAATATTGTCACATCAAAAGCTGTCCTCCAAACCAACGCGTGGAAATAAACCTCATGTTTTAGGAAACAAAGTCTGAAATAAAGAGCAAAGCGAAAGGAGAGTGACTAAAGCTTCGGGTCTGGTTTTGTGGTCTGTTCATCGGAAACCAAAGGGCTAAGATGTTGGGAATAAAGGCAAAGGCAGTAGCAGAAAGTAAGGCAAAGGGGTGACATGGCCAGACCCCAGCGTGAAGTTAACCGTTACCCCGATCCGTTTTAGACAAAAAGAAAAAGCGAGGCTCCTAAGGACAGAGGCAGCGACCGCCACCGGCCGTCAGGGCGACAGGGCGAGGGAAGCCCCACTTAGGTACACGCCGAGACCGCGCCGAAGCGGCTGAGAAGGCGGAACACGCAAGCGCGCGTAGCCAAGTGCGCCTGCGCAAACCGCCCACACTGCGGCCTTTCCGGCCAGTCACACGGCACGCCCCTGGGGATTACGACCTTTTGCGGCAAGAGTGAGGCGCAGAGTTGCAGGGCGGAGCCCCAGTGTGACACCCCGATTGGGCAGCGCCTCCACGACGGCCGCCGATTGGTGGGGACAGCGGGAGTTGGGTTTGAAGTCTGAGCGCGCGCCCGCCCGCAGGCGCCGAGGTCGCCCGCCCGCTGGGACGCGCTGGCGGCGCATGCGTAAGCTGTCGCCCGAAACGGCGCGCACCTTCCCGGTGGCCGTCCGGCACTAGCCGTTCTCGGGACGCCGGGCGCAAGCTCTCACCACACCCGTCGGCGACACGAGGGTGCCCTGCCGACCCCGCCGCCGCCGCCCCCCGGAGATCGGAAACGCAACCCCCTCCGTATCCCGGCTGCAATGTCCCCTAGGGGGCCAGAAGCTGAGGTGAAGGGAGGGCTAAGGTGTCTCGAGCCTGCCGTTCCAACGGAACCCAGCTCCGTGCCCGTGGGGAGACCTCTCCGACGGGGACCGCCGTTCGGTGGCGCACAGAACCCGTAACCTGATATTCCGGAAAGTTTGATTTGCATTTTCTTGTGAGGTAGTCAATACACACTTTGCTCAAAACGGTGACTTCAGTTGGCCCGCAGAGGCCCAGTAAAAACCTAAAGTAGAGCGCAGCTGGGCCTTCACTTTGTGTGTGTCCTTCATGACCTTCAAACGGGGTCAGAGCCCTACTCGGACGAGGCAAGCTAGCACCTGGGGCGGGCGGGCGGTCCACGCGCCTGATGACCGCTTGTCGTGGCGCCGCCCGGGATCCCACCGCGGGGAGGCCGAACTACGCAGTGAGACCCCGGATCCAAAGAAGAAATTTTTAGAAATTAACCTAGAGGGTCTTTCTAAAAACTGATGTGAGGCTGACCCTTAATTCAGGAAATCTTATCTTCATCCCCCTTCAAGACTGACACCAGGAGATTTACAGAGACATTGTTACCAGTGAGCACACCTAGATGTCTCGTCACTGGCCTAAACCTGAACTCCGGCAGAGACTCCAAAAACCTAAGATTATCTCAAGCAGAAACAGTCACCTAAGACTTGTGAGCCATCCTGCAAAACCAGAACTAAAGTAATGCTCAACCAGACCCTAGCCTACCCCCAACTAAAAGCTGTTCTTCATTTGACAGGCTAAATCTCACCATCCCCATCAGATGTGTCCCCTTCAGTTCCTCAAGCTGAAGTCCCTTCCCTATATTCCCTAATTCTGCTTGGTAAATCAGTCTGTGCCTCTGACACATCCTGAAATGTCTCATATTCTTTGTTGCTGGGACAAAATACTCAATCCCCACAACTTAAAAGGTTTAAATTCGGTTTAGAGATTCCAAAAAACAATGGAGTCCACTGGCTCCAAGGCAGGACAGTGTGGCCGAGGGGCTAGTGGAGGTAAAGCTGCTCACCTAACAGCACTCAGAAAGAAATCACAAGTGGAACCAGAAAAACCTGCGTCCTTCTGGGTCAGGTCCACAGTGAGCCGCCTCTCGCAACCACTCACCTCCTCACAAGTCAGTTATAAATCCAGGACTCCAGTTGCTTTTCAAAAGCCCTACCTGTGATCACCAGGCTTTGGTGCTGGAGCCTCTAGATAGAAAGGTCACAGTACTTGCTTCAGCCACATTGAGGCTTCCAACATTAGGACAAGTGGGATGGCTCCTGAGATGGTGTCCAGTAACCTTAGTTTCAGCCAAGGTAAGATCATTTGGCAGGGCACCATTTGCTGACAGCTATCCTATGGAGCCCTCACCAGGTGCTCGGGCTGCATGCCAGACTGTAGCAGCAGAGGGTCACCCATCACTGCTGAAATTAGCAGAAACACCTCACAGGTGGGAACACAGCACATAAACACGGTTCTTCCTATGGCTTCTTGTCCTTGTTTTTGCTGTGTACTATATATATATA